TTTTTTTTTACAAAAGGTTACTTTACCTTATTGTTAGCACCATTTTGCGTACGTAGGGTTTTACCGACCTAGTTCAATCTGTTAGTGTTGCACGTATGTACTCTCTGGTTTGACGTCACGATTTAGTTTCGCGTTTTTGCCAGATATCTAATCGCGATATATATAATCTGGCTGAGATTCGAGCTGATTATATTCACTAGGCCTCTCTTATGATTATAATTGCGCCATTTAGCATTTGTTGTTGCGCTTGAAAATGAGCAGCAACGGTATTACGTAGTGTTACATCTTCCCTTGGAATTTTCGACTAGCGTAGGACTACTTTCTAGCTTTAGAGAGCACTCTAGAAACTACTAACCTCTGTTCTTCGCATGATTACGTGTCAAGAGCGAATGCCTCTCTCTTCGAGAGAGAGAGATTTGATGTGTTTACTCGATTGCTTGCTCTGCATGTTCCTCTCTGCGTGTTTCCCTCTTTCTCTTGCCGAGGTGGCGGAACAGAGCGTTCTTACGAATGAACCGCGAGAAGTGATTAAAACATTGACACGGGAAAATGAATCCGAAATCCTTCTGAAAACGCTCTGCGATGCTGTGGGTGTTGAATCACGCTGCGAAAAAAAAAAAAAAAGAAAACGGTCCGTGTGGAAGTTGGACCAACTTGTCGCAAGTTTCTAAATACCCTGAAACACGTGAAATTAGGTTTGGAATTACGTTAATAGCAACTCTATGAGAACGAAATGATGCAAGTTTGTTTGTCAGATGAACGTACGTACGGTATTTGGAAGCTTGATAATTGATATGATCAGAGTATATATTTTGTGTCAATAACCAACGCGTAACACTAACCATGTTTCATGCAATAGTTACTCTTCAATCCGTGAGAAGTATCGCAAGAATATGATGATTTAGATCTTCAAATGTGTGCTTTCAATCTCGATTTCGATCTTTGGATATCTTCGAGAGATTAGTTACCTAGTCAATTTACTTTCAAAGTGAAATTTGTTCATTCGCTGATGATTCAATTCTTACGATATTTCTCGCGAGCAACAGTTGTAGATGACACTAGAAATCTAGAAACTGTTGTTGCATCAACTTCGTGCGTATGCGCGTATGCGCGAAACGTTGATGTGTATATACACGTTTGTTTATTATTTGTCGTGCTTAACATCATTGTTCCGATTGTGATCGATGTTTAGAATTTTGAATCAGCATTTCACAACGAGTCACTCGACAGTCAGTCTGAAATTTCTGAACGCTGAAAGTTTCGTTTGCCGTACAAAAACGCTTTGCCTTACTTGTCGAGCACACACCTGTCGTTTCGTTTTTGTTCTGTTTTTGTTTCTGAAAAAAGAAAAAAAAGAAAAAAGATGCTGTACTGCGTGTTAACGTCTCGTGGTTTATGAGTAAAAAGTGACGTCGTTGACTCGCCGACGAGGAACGGGGGAATATTATGCAAAACTTCGTCATAGGTTGTGCTTCACGAAGTTGAAGTTGTTGCTGCTGGCGATCGAGATAAAGGGCGAAGGAGGTGGCGACAGTAAGATATCGATTAATCCACGTGGTGCCAAGATCGTAGCAAATACTCAGGGATTCTTCATTGCTCAATCTGCCGACGAAGTGAAACGGTGAGAACTATTCCATAGACAGACACACTGAATAATAAATACGCGGACAGCCGAGAAATTTGCAAAATTTCGAGAACGAGGCGATTCTGGTAATCCGGCTTGAAAAAAATCGACTTTTTTGGGGATTTTTTTTTTTTCTAAGGAAACCACGATACATTTTGGCATGCAGTTTCATTCGCACACCGATTCATTCATACTTGAAGAGTATTTACAATTTTTTTTTTTAACGAAATTAATGAAAGTTGTGGAAATTGTATAGCCTTAGGTAAAGCATGTTTTTAAAAACGGGTTCGAATGGCTGACGTGATTCCGGTCCACCTGGTTATTTGAAACTGAAAACCCAAAATGCATCTTGATTAGTATAAATGTGGCTATCGCACGAACCACGGATACGGCGAAATTTCGAGAGTTAAAAAAATGGCAGCATTTTGAAGTTTAAATATCGATTTTCCTTGTGCTTTTCGTCTTTTGGGTGGTAAAAAAAAAAAAAAAAATAGAAAAAAATCATCAGATTTT